GCACATCTTCCACTACTGTCTTGTCTAATTATAATTACCTCCATGAAAAATGGAGGTATTGTTTTTGGCATGTATGTCTCCGTGTGTGTGTTTGTTTGTGTGTGTGTGTGTATGTTTGTGTTTCCGCACATTAGCACAGCTTCTTCTTGAACTGCAGGGGGTTTCTGGTGAAACCTTTCAGAGCAGATAAATTCACAAAGCAGCAATGTATTTTTATGATTTTTGGTATGTGGGTAGCTTAGACAGCTTAGAGATCTACATTATTGGATGCAAATTATACAAATGACAACTTACTTTGCATAATTAATGAGAAAATTATATAATTCCAGTGGTTTACATCATGGGACTTTGATACGTGTTTATAATCTATGGCAGGAGGAATGTCACCAGATACCAATTATGCAAATAAGGACCTAATTTGCATACTTAATCTGAAAAGCCTTATAAGCTTCCTTTTAAGCACCTAAGGTATAGTGGTGTCTGCTCTTTTGTTGTAAGGATGAGCATTTACCATGACCGAATTGCAAAACTCTAAACAATATTAAAACGAAGAGAAGAAAATCCTTCAAATACGCAAGTTTGGTTTCTTATCTAGAGATTATTGCCACAACAGGTGATGCACAAAAAGGACCGAAGACGCACCTAAAACTAGATTCACCTCTGTCTACACTGACGTGTCATTTTTCGCTCAGTGGCATGTATGACCCTCACGTATGGGTAAATACCTTCATATAGTGGACATTCTGTACTTAAGCTAAAATAACTTATTCAGTCCACGAAACGTGAAAAACCTTATAAGCTTGTTTTTAAGCACTTGATCCATAGTGACGTCTACTCTTTTGTTGTGAGGATGAGCATGTACCATGACCGAATTGCGAAACGCTAAACAATATTAAAACTAGAGTTCGTAGGGCTCATGCCTTCGACTGTGTGATATTGTTTTGGTGGGTGTTTTTGTTTGTATATGGTAGTTTTGTTTTAATGTGTAGATGTTTATTGTTGTTATTGATGGTATTTAAAAGTCAATACCGTGATAAATAGCCCCGGGACTGCAAGACTGAAGCATAAATAGCACCGGGACTGCAGGACTGTTGACAATTATTCTCTCAGTCTGTTCTCATATGGAAACTAATGTAGTGCTGAGGGCCTGTTTTACTTGCTGACTATGTAAAGCGACGGTCACAACTCGCCGTACGTGCTTCTGCGTGCTGTCTACGTGCAAAAACGTGGGCAAACGTACGGCATCCGTGCGTGGTGAGTACCGCCTCCGTACGGAATCCTACGGATTTGGGAGCACGCAGACACGCCGTAGAACCTTAAGTGCATGTAATACTTTTTCTACGTGCGGTCTGCGGATTTACCACCCGTTCGTGTGAGTACGTGCGACGCGCGTGCCCCGTACAGCCTATGAGCGTGCAACGTACGGACTCCGTGAGTCTAACTTCACTATTCTCACGTGCGATTGCTGTACGGACAGCGCACGAAGCACGTGAGTGCCACGCACGGTGCTTGCGTCATCCGTGCTTACTCCTCACTTCCCAGTTGACCTGCTCAATGACCACGCAGAACACACGTGCACCATACTAGGTGCTCCGCACGTGCAACGCACGTGCAACGCACCTTATTTCTACAGTATATAAAGACGACTTGACCGGCGACTGCCAACTCGTCTCCAAGATGCCCAGGAAGGCTCAAAAGAAGTCTACCAGACAAGATCCAAAGAAACGGGCCGCGGAAGACACCAGGGCGGCTAGTGATGATGAAGTTAACAGGAGGTGCACGCACTTACAACGTGCGAGTGAGTAAGGAAATCGTGCGCACGCCGCACGTGTAGGTACGGCCTGTACGCGGCAACGTGGCAATCGCACAGAGATCGTACGTTGTAAGCACGTACAACTCACTTACCACTTGCGCAACGTACGATGCACACAACCGCTGACGGCCAGGCGTGTCGTGCAGACCACGTACGTACACCTTGCGAGTGACGTACTCCCTCGACCGGCCACCCTACGTTTGCAGAAAAAACGTAGCAGACGTAGCCACGACAAAAACGTACGGACAAAAAGCACGCACGGCGAGTTGTGACCGTCGCTTAACTTTTCCACTACTTCGACTTGCCTTTGTGTAATTGGAAACCGATTACTCGCCCCGTATTTTATGTGTCATCTTATGAATGCCTTGCACAATATAATACCATGATATGGATGTTATATTATTAGATGTTATATTGAACGGTGCCCATGTGATAGACAGTCAGTGTACCAGATGTGTCACATGGATCTGGCCTTTGCCCTTGAAAACAACCCATAGTTATTTGATATAACATATGTTGTTTACCCGTGTGCTCGGACATTTCCGTGACTGTTTCTTCAAGTGTTCTGCTGAAAGAGTCTAAAAGGCTGGTGGTTTGTGGAACAAAGTAATTTTTTTAGTGAGCCAAGAATCAGCGAAAGGTCATGTTGGGTACAGTTGATGGACTGTTCATAACAGAAATCAGAGTCCCGTAGCATTTTGTAGGACGTTTATATTCATTGATGCCAATACAGTATGTAAATTTGAAAGTCGTTGAGGGATATTTTTGACTATAATACACTAATACAAACAACAATTACAACAATACAATTCTGTTTATTATAAGTGAACTGTGATATGTTTGGTCTCCCAAAAGGTACAAGGAAATACGAAAATTTGAGGTAATCTGTTTTCCGTCATTTGTAGGTTATTGACGCTCATGACAATTTAAATTTTGCCCAAGCTATTACATTTGTTAGGAAAAAAAATGGCGTATACCCTACAAACAGGTTATAGTTTGCATCTGTAGATCTGTAGGAAATAAATTAACACGTCACCCCATGACTTTTTACAAATTTCACAGGATCTATCTATCGAACAGTCTGAGTCTGTACTAAACATAGGCCCACTTTAGCTTCGATTAAAGGAACACTTGAGGATTACTGTTATTTCAACAAACAACTCTAGACCCTTGCTGTGCTTTTGTTAGTGTAACCTACTTAACCGTGACTATGCTATTGTTAGTTTAACCACCTACATAAAAGGACAAAAACTTCGCCTATACTTATAAAGGGAACACAAATTGTTCTATTATATCAACCCACAGCCTACTACAGACTCCAAACTTCAAACCCTCAATATAAACCCCTTAACCTATTCACAGAAAAAAAAATTAAAAAATTCCTATTCTACAACTTCAACTACTTAAAAACTAACAAACATTCACCAAAAGCCCACTACAGTAACGTACGGACCTCCCACGACACCCTTTTCCGAACTTGATCTTCCTATCGTCAACGGTAACTTGCTCACAAAAAATCGTGAACATCCATTTGCAGATTCCCAAATTATCCCGCTAACAACAATAACGACCAACACAAAAGGTCAAATTCAATGACATGGGAACCCCCCACAAGGCCCATATCCGAACTTGACCCCGGTATCCTCAACGGCGACTTGCCAACTGAAAATCACAGACAACCTCTTAAGGATTCCCGAGTTATCTGGGGAGCAACAAAAAACGCAAACACAAAACGTCAGCTCCAGTCACGTAAGAATCCCCCCACGAAGCCCATTTCTGGCCTTGACACTGCCCATCACTAAGGCAACCTGCCTGCCAAAAATCGTGAACCTCGGACCATGCCTTTGAACTTTATCGTGCATAATTCATTGCCTTCTGTCGAAGGCAATGAAGAAAAGAAAATCCTTTAAATACGCAAGATTTGCTTCTTCTATAGAAGTGTGCTTAAGTACTTCATCCATGGTGAAAGCACTTGATCAATGGTGACGTCAGTTCTTTTGTTGTGAGGATGAAAATGACTGAATCGGGAAATACCGAAAAATAAGAACAGGAAAAACTTTTTCAATACGCAAGATTTTCTTCTTATCTAGAGATTATTGCCACAACAGGTGATGCACGGCCAAAAGGACCATCTAGTAATTGACCAAAGACAGTCTAGTAATTGACGCATCTAAAACTAGCTTCACCTCTGTCTACCCTGATATCTGTTCTTTTTGCTCACTGACACGTATAAGCCTCACAAAAGGATACATACCTTCATAAAGCGGTATGTACATTCTGTACTTAAGCTAAAATAACAGACTTATTCGGTCCACGAAACGTAAAAAGCCTTATAAGCTCCTTTTTAAGCACTTGAACCTTAGTGTGACGTCTGCTCTTTTGTTATGAGGATGAGCATGTACCTTGACCGAATCGCAAAACGCTAAATTAACACCGCGCCTGTCCACTACTACCTTATCTCCTTTACATATATCAATGACTACTAGTACACTGTCGACTCTCCTCGTCTACAAAACTTTACTTATTGGGCAACAAACCACTACAAAAATCCATACAAACAGATTCCGTCCTACTCACGGTTTACTCTTCTTCTTTCCACGTGGTAGCACAGTAACAGTTCAGAATGTCCTTCCGAGTCTAAAATGTTCCTGTGTCAGGCTTTTCCACGAAGTTCTAGTGTTAGGTTTCCTTTCGTCCGGTTTCCGCTGCATGCAGGGTCTTCACGTACTATACTTTCAGTGAATTGCATCCCACTTCTGGCGCCGCATGTCAAGGATGAGCCGAGTGCTATTTCAAAGAACTGTTTAATGAACCTCCTATCCTACATTAACATGCACACACACACACACGCACACACACGCACACATACACACATAGTGAATTGCAAAAATAAGTCAATAATTATGATCTTATAATGATATGATTTGCCCCAAAAGGTATTGATGTTTCATATTTTTTGCAGGCATTTTGTGTTTGTCACAAGGCGCGATGTCCATTCTGACGTATTTCGTCATGTAATTACACCAGGAAAGCTGGTTATATAGACATGCTACCATACATTAAAATGAACTTTGATTATTGCAGGATAAAGAAATCCGCGCAAGAACTGATCCACATATCACGATGTCTGATGAACAATATGACCGACAAACGGACGTGCTGATCGTCGGGTCGGGGCCTGTGGGCGCTACCTTCGCCCGTCAGTTGCTTGACGGTAATCCGGCCTTGCGTGTCCTTATGATCGACAGCGGGGCCCAGCTGTCCAAAATACCAGGGGAGCATCTCAAGGTAACTGCCGAACTTTATTGTTGGTGATTATAATCTCCAATTACATGTATACATAAAACGCGCACTCTTGGATAATATACGTATTTATGTCCTACCTGGGCCGCGATTACGTTCGATACGGGTGTTCCGGCCCGTGTGATAACTAGCGGTATGGCCCGGGGGTTCTTAACGCGTACGGCCCGGGCCATCCAAATGTTCCGTGGAACGATTCGAACGCGTTTCGGCCTAACCACGTGCACCGATTTCGAAATTTGAATACAAAATTTGGACGTTGGAATTGATGTTGTCGCATTTTTTTGGGTTTAGGGACACCAAATTTTCGCTCATTTCGCATTGAAAGGCGCGTTTTCTTGGGTGGGTATAACATAAATAAAATACAACACGGTGTATTCCGCATCACCCTCGGTCCCAGCCCTCCCGCGGACCGGATCTCCCTCCGGCCTTCGGCCGTCGGGCGATCCGACGCGCGGTCGGGCTGGTACCTCGGGCGATACGGAATACACCGTGTTGTATTCTATATTTATATGTCCAGTATTGTACATTTTTATCACCCAAATCCCTGCATGCCCGTTTTTAAGCCATTCCATTATCTACCATTACATCTGCAGTTGTAAAGTGACTATGTACGAGTAACATGATCAGGTCCCTGCCAGAATCTGTGATGGTGATTGTTATTAGATAGGTTATTAGAACTAGTCTTGACGGAGTTACCCATACCGAATTCATGACGAACTGTCATGTCATAGTTGTTGTACATTTCCTTGTTGTACACTGCCAGCTCGAACCTAAGCCAGTAGGCAATATTTCCTTATATTTCCTACCTCCAGAATTTTTACCTGTATCAGCGGGACGTGAACCTCTTCACCCATGTGATTGAGGGGCACCTGGAGCCTGTGTCTGTTCCCACCGACCAGTCAACCGTGCCGACTCTGGACCCCGGCGCCGCTAACTACCAACAGTAAGGAGCTCAAAAAGAGATGATTTGAATTTCATGCCCGTGCATCTTTGAATTATCATGAAGTAGACCCTTTCTATTTTTTTGTAGAAATGTTAATTAAGAAGGCAATCAGAGATTAAAGACTTCATAAGAACTTGATGTGATCACTCACACTGCTGTGTGAGTTACCCATGGATGCTGTTTTGCGATCAGAAACGTACACGCACACACACACACACACACACACACACACACACACACACACACACATACACACACACACACGCGCGGCGCACATGCACACACACGCGCGCGCACGCACGCACACATACGCACACACACGCGCGCGCACACACATACACACGCACACACACACACATACACACACACGCACACACGCACGGACATAACAAGTTAGTGAAACTTAAGGTCAAATTCGTTAGTTCACCATGAATTTTGACGTAGTAAAATACCATTAGGTATACTGCGTGTATAGTCACTCATAGGCCCACTCTAGACGAAGCATTTCGCGACAGCGGCGATATTTCCCACTGTCGGGACGCCGCTGTCGCGACGTCTTTATACACACAAATCTCTTCGCATCGAACATCGAACATCCGAATGTTCTAACGCGTGAAATCCAAAATGGCGGGGGAGCCGCCAATGTTTTTCCTCGCCGTGTGTCAGATGTTTTTCTTTATGTTAGTCACTCGCGTCTTGTCCAATATGAGGCGACGAGCAAGGGGTGCACGCAGGAGACGGTTGAGATACCGGGAGATGTTGCTGACACGTCGCGCCCTGCTTACCTCCCCGCTGCCATTGCTTTGGCCAAAGGTGGTGATCCTGTCCACCGGAGGATCTGGCGATACGTTAAGAAACCCGCGACCTTTTGGCAAAAATTTGTTCAAGGCACACTGTGCGATACAGAGTTTTACAGGTGCTTCAGGATGTCGAGGGGAACATTTTAGATGCTTTGTGACAAACTGAACCCTGACCTCCCGCTGTCGCGAGTTCTCTATACGCACTTTAAGTTGTCGGGAACTCCCGCTGAGTTGTCGGCCGACAACTTTGGAGCTGTCGTCAGAAAATTTCATGACAGCGGGACTACGCTGTCGGGAATCCTCTCTAGACGGCGTTCCTGCTGTCGGCGTGCCGCTGTCGGCAGTTACCGCTGTCGCGAAATGCTTCGTCTAGAGTGGGCCATAGAGGAGATTACATAATTTATCAAAAATACAGGCGACAGTTTAAAGTTAGACTCACGACTCGCTCAGATGTCAATAAAAGGATCCTGTTTGTTGTTGCCGTCAGAACCATCCAAAATGCCCAGAACCCTGAGCAGAAGGCCGATGAGAACCTGCCGGACATCGCGGTGTGCTACGCCGTGGGCGGGATGTCCACCCACTGGACCTGCTGCACACCGACACAACACCCCACTGTGGAGCGCTGGGATGGAATATCCGGCACGGAGTGGGACAAGCTGTACAAGCGTGCCAAGTATCTGTACAAGACCGACTGGTAAGGGGTGATAAAATGTGGCACAGTGTGTAGCAACTGAGGCGAACATTTCTTAGTATAATCACTATGATATGATATCGACCTTTCGTAATCATCAATAGAAATGTACGTGATATGCGTCGAACACACCGACAAGTCCACATACACGTAAAGCGCAGTACTGTCTCCTTTTGCTATCGACTGGACTTAAGGGTATATGTTGTCAAGTAGAATTTTTTAGCACAAATCTATAGTTGTCACTATGATTCTATGTTTACTTATATTTCATATTTGCTCACTTGAAATTATAGTGCTAAGGGCCTTTTCACTGGGTCTCTGCGCTACAAAGCAGTGAAGAAAGCCCTTGAAAAGGAGTACGGTGATGGAGTCGAGGTGACGAATCTTCCACTGGCCTGCACAGCACGCACGGACAAGGAGGGATTCGTAACCTGGACCTCGTCCAGCACCATCCTTGGGCCGCTTTTGGACATGGAGAAGGAAACGTTTGAGATACTGGTAACGATACGTTCTAAATCACGTAAGAGAGTGGATAAAGTATCACCATTATGAAATTGTTGTTTTTATTTAATTTCATTTTATTTTATTTATTTTGTTTTTATGTTAATGAAATTGCGACAGCAATACAATGCATCCCTGGCAGCCCAACTGCCGTAACATAACACTGGAGATAGCATGTCATAATATGTATTCAAAGACTCTGCACTTCTTCCTCAGGAACAGCACCAGTGCATGGAGTTAGTCAAAGACGGCAGCATCGTGCAGCATGCTCTGGTCAGGGATCTGGCGAACTTGGACAAGGAGTTGAAGTTCCAGGCAAAGGTGTACGTGGTCTGTGCCGGAACCATTCAGACACCCCAGGCAATCTCTGATTACTTTCCTTTACCTCTGCAAGAACATCATTTTCATAAAGTGACTTTCTAGTATTTTTTTACAACATTTATGACAAAACATGGTGACGGCACATTCAAGTTGTTCACCACAAAGTAGCGTAATTTAAGTAGGGAAAGTCGTGTAATGTGCCTTACCCAAGGACACAAGGTATAGCATTGGTATTGGTGGTATGGCAGGATTCGAACTCGGGACCTCTTGGTTTTGGCCTGAACGCTCTGTCGTTACGCCACACGACCCCTTATAGGTCCATGATAATCCCCATTGTAAACGTGCTTTCACAGCTGCTGTGGAGGTCTAACATCCGCCCTAAGGCCTTAGGCCATTACCTGTGTGAGCAGCCCATGGCCTTCTGCCAGATCGTGCTGCTGCAGGACATCATCGACGACATCGCCAAGTCTAGGGCTGGTCGGCGGGACCCGCGTGACCCAATCCCAATCCCCATTGATGATCCCGATCCTCAGGTAAATTGTATCATATCTAGACCTATATAATCATCAATCTTTTTTGAATGTGCACGTCCATGCGTATGTGGAAACTGAGTAACATAAATGTAGTCATACAGTTAATACTCAAGTACAAGGTGCACTTCCTTGTCTACGCTATCACAGTCACAAAGTCTATAGAGCCTATATTTTCTACAGAAGTACCGTTATGTCTGCCGGTTTCTATGTGTAGATTAGTTTGTAGCTTTGACATGGCTCGGCGTTGTTCAGGCCAGTTGCAAATACGCAAGGAAAATTTGATATAAGTAGAAACAAGTAATACAAAAAAGACACAAGAATCTAAGAACCTAAATCTATAATATAATATAATATAATATAATATAATATAATATAATATAATATAATATAATATAATATAATATAATATAATATGATATTATGTGACACAATATACATGTAATATGATAATATAATATCACTGCGTCTACTTGGTCCTTTTGATTTGCTGCTCTCACCTAGGTCTACATCCCCGTGTCTGAAGACCGACCTTGGCACTGCCAGATCCACAGGGACGCCTTCTCGTACTGCGGCATCAGGCCTAACGTGGACACCCGTCTTATCGTGGACCTGCGCTGGTTCGGCAAGATGGACGAGCCTCATCCTGAAAACAAAATGACCTTCAGTGACAAGATCAACGATACCCATGACATGCCACAGGTCACCTTTCACTACAAGATCCGCACCCAGGTGAGTACTGGACTCTGATATAGAGCCGAATGTATACGAGCAGTAGAACCTTTGGGGAAGCTTTACAATGGGTTAAGACTGCACTTTTTCATACACAATATGAACACTATGTATGATACTCCCTGTTGATGATGGTATTGAATTTGCTTCACCTCTTTCCTCGCAGAAAGAACGCGATGATGGAGGACATGCTGCGGGCTGCCGGGGCCTTGGGCGGGTTTCTCCCGATCACACCGCCGCAGTTCATGCCGATGGGTCTCTCCCTGCATCTGACGGTAAGTCAAAGTTGTCAAACTCTAACTCAAGAAAATTGACTCACTACCAGCTCATCGTGACCATCCATGTTTTTTTTTCTTTCCTGGACCATTCTATCTTTTCATAATGGTGAAAATTATAATATAAACCCTGAAAAGTCTGTCAGTAAAGTTTGCATGACAAAAATGATGGACTTATGATCAATCTGACTGCAATGTTACAGCCTTCGTTCTTCATTAGAACATGTTTTAAGTGTTTTAAGACAAGTGTGATGACTACCTTGCTGGGCTTGCTCGGCAATAGATCTATCGCCCTAGTCAATACATATACACCTAAGCCTTTGGACCCAACATAAGACGTGTCTTCATTGCAGAGCTTCCCAGATGTGTGCCTATCTTGTCATTTCCATCATTCCCGAATGATTCTGATGCAATGTGGAGGGACTTCACTAAAACGTGTCTGACCATTCCTTGTCATTGCTCAGGGCGCATACCGTATGGGTATAGACCCGGGCACCTCTGTGGTGAATGAATACAGCAGGGTGTGGGACTTTGACAACCTGTATCTCGGCGGAAATGGCGTCATCCCTACTGCAACAGCATGTAACACCACCCTCACCAGCTCCGCACTGGCCATCCGTGCAGCTGACTATATCGTCGAGAAGTGGTAAGACCGGTTTTTCTGGCTGCATTACCCGTATATAACAATCTTTTGCATCCCCTATTATCATCTCTGTCACTGGATCTGTTCCCAATTTCTTTGCTGCCAGTGAGAAGATTGTAATAGCTGCTTCATGTTTTCATAACTCCTACAATACGCACTATTTTCTTCATTGAAGTTCTTTATATGATCTCACTGAATTAATTGTGAATGATAACAAATAGGAAATTGTTTGATTTTTGAAAGCTGTGATCTTATGAATTTTATTTGAATTTTTATTTTTCTAGGGGCAAAACAGATCAGACCGAGACTGTGAAGGGACGTGCCCGTAAAGGCCCCCATGAGAAGTAAAAGTAAACTAAATGAAGCAAATGTCTGCTGTTGAATTGAAGTCAATTATCGACATTTCCCTACTTAAACATGAAAGGATTTTGTATCTTGAATCATAACGACATCAGAACAAAAACATATTTGAAAATTAATGGCAGCGTAAATGTGAACGAACTATAGACATACCCGGCGGGTGGCACTGATTTGCTAAATAGTTAGAACAGCACACTGTTTTAGGGTTATACATGTAGTATTAATACAACGTACCGTTAGATATCATGAAGTTCATTGCTGGTGATAAGTAGGCTGTGTTTTAGGTTTATCTCATCATGGCTAACTAAAGATAACAGTAGTTTTAACGTACGTGTTTTAAAGGTATATCTTGCATTCCGTTTGGTTTGATTTTGGAAATTTGTATCCTAGATTTTCGTCAGCAGTGGTTTATTTCTTTCAGACTGTACGATACAGAGTAGCAGGGTCCCCGTAGGACTCTGAATTGATCTGCTGCATTACACAGGTTATTAAAATGGTTGGCACATATACTGAAAGCAATTATTAAAAACAGTTAAAACAACAATTATTAAAAGTATTTACAATAGGTTGCGATCATAGTCAAGCGGTTAAAAACAGCAAATTATTAAAAGTATTGACAGTAGATTGCGATCATAATCAAGCAGATACCATGTCATGACAGATTATTGTTTTTGTTCAGAATATGTAAACGGGGTTTTAAAGTACCTTTTCTATAGTCTCGGCTACCTCGGTCAAAATATAAACATTCAAATGTTTGACCGTCAGTAACCAGTCTCTCATTGTTCAAACCGCTTATTGCCAGGTCATCATTGGTTGAACTGGTAACTGATGGACAGCCGGGAGAGGTCTATTATGACCACGACATTAGGTGATTCAAATCCCGGTAGGGGGCATAAATCATGAACATTGCGGTAGTTTTTCAAACTGAAAAACCATACAACAACTGAAACGTAAGAAGCTATCATTATAGGTATCATCTGTTGACATGATAATACATGTGATGCTCCTAGGCTTCCATTTTAGCAAAGTTTAATTGGTTGGAATCATTACTCGGTGTTATTAAATGTAATTGGTGTGGAATATGTTTGTACGTATTTCATGTGTTTGTATCGTTACTACAAGAAGAAGGACTATTTTTATATGGGTCCTAAGCTAATCTCTAGAAATGTACAATATCAAATTGGCCAGGCAGTTACCATTTGCCACAAAAAAAGATACCAAATGAAAGCCCAATAAATTAAAAATGCCTAAAACACACCAAAAATACTCTTGCTTGGAGAGTAGTCCTAAGCATCCATTTCAAACTTCCCTTAGCCTGGCTACCAGCCCCGTTAGCTTTAGTCACTGATCGCTACTTTGGTGACCCGAACGAAGGCCAGGTATCCAGGCTAAACTTTTTATATTCAAGGTTCTTACACTCATTACTTCATGCTTTGATCCTCTCTAGGTACAGAGAAAGAATCTCTGATTTGAATGCTGTGATAAAGAGGGTTGCAATTTAGCACTTTCTCAAGTTGGTACGACCGTTGCTAGCCCGGTAACAGCCTCTACCACAGAATCTACAGCAGAACCTTGGCTGGTATCCGTCTCTTCCGTTCGTTCCTTGCCTCTGCTATCGTATACTTTCAGTATGGGGGAAGACGTAACAAACTATTAATAGTCTTGCCCTTATAGCCCATCAAACAGCTCCCCCTACTGCTCAAGGTTATATTACTCAATCAAGTCATCACACACATTTACATCATTTGGAGCTACAAACAGTATTCATGAACAGAAAAAGTGATATATTCAAGTAAGTCGAAACAAGACAATTTACAAGAAAATTATCATCGGTCTCGAAACTTCACCCTCCAATCAACTTTACATGTATACTCCACTATTGGTAAAATGGCAGAAAAAAAGAGCACAATTTATGGCTTGATATTCCAACAGTTTTTCATAAAATTAGAAATTGTTGGTTTTGCATGGTCGGATGTTTGAGTTCAAGGTCACATATACCTCAAAATCTTAAACCCCCTGCGAGTCTTTATCGATTTCTCCATTCCCAAAATTTGGCATTTCGCCGGTCTCTTTTGTTACTTTTCTGGATACAACTGGGAGCGGTTACTGCAGATTAGGCTCTATACGTATACTACTATATTGCGGTATTGTAAAAGATGAAAATATGCACATGAAAATATCGGTTTAAAGCCAGCCAAAGATTTCCTAAATAGGCCCAAACATCTTTTCATATATTTAGAATGACTTTTGACACACCAGTTGACATAAAAAGATCGATTTATGGGCGTGGTTCAAGGCGTAACACAATTTCCACTCATCAAAACGCCACCTGCATTTACGAAGTAAGTTTTTTTGTTTAATGCATGTGATGATTGTAATGTTTTCTCTTGCGACTCTGGCCTTTTTCTTAACTGTAATTTATATGGGGTCAGGGACTTTCAAAGAAGCCAGACCGTCACTCAGTATACATTACGGTTTCTCACCACAACATCTGCTTGGACACCGCAGTGAAAACTTAGGAAAATTGTTGTGTGTGCAGATGTCATAATCAAGTAAGTATGATCCTAATGAGAATCACTGAGTAAGGCCCTATTCATTTTAGTTGGGTTCGGTAAGTCAATAATAAATACAACTCACACGTAGTAAAATATCAGCTGTAAAGTCACAATGCTTGTCAGTATCTACATATAGTTTCACTCATTCTAAATAAATAAATAAACATCAACATATATATAACGTTATATATAGTTATACTGTGAAATATATAGAATATGTAGAATGGTCACCTAAATGATTTATTAGATCACCACAACAGCAATTAATGAACAGCAAATTGATAAAAAGGAATAAATGTCATGTCGTGCCAATACACAATGTTTTTGTTCAAAATGGTATACAAATGAATTTTATCGGTAAAGTAGATTGAAAAGTGAACATCCAAATTATTTTCATAAAAGCAGCTCCTGGTATCTTGATAAGACAGTGTACCAGTCCATGTATAGGCCACACCGGCTTAATTTTATGGAAGACATCCTCTGAAGACCCCAAACTAGTGCGCGCGGGCGAATAAAAAAAATTCTGGCCAAAAAAAATGCTACTAAACCACAGGAATACAAAGCTTGTATTGTGATTTTGCGACTGTACATAACGACGTTTATATCATACCCGGGCCGCGATGACGTTCGATAACGGGTTCGGACGCTTCGATGGCTTCCATAAAACGATTCGAACGCGTTTCTCCCTAACCGCTTGTGCCCCTTTCGTAAATTCGAATACAGAATCCGGACGATGGAACTGACGTTGTTGCATTTTAGGGTTTAGTGGCACCAACTTTTGGCTCATCTTGCATTAAAAGGCGTGTTTTCATGACATAAATAAAATACAACACGGTGTATTCCGTTTCGCCCGAGGTATCGGCCCGACCGCGGGTCGGATCGCCCGACGGCCGCGATATGTAACGTTACAACATGCCGGCATATGCTGGCTTTTTTGTGGATTTTACGAATCGGCACTGTATGTACTAAGTTCTTGAGTCGTGGAGCTTCGTTAGCCTGGGTGCCATCTACCGGAGTTACAACGTATACTACCCAGAACCTCGGAGGACGTGATCTTTTTTTCCTTTTTTTTTCTTTGAGAACAGGCGAAAATCAATGCGCGCGCGGATGCCATCCATAAAATTAAGTCGCTGTGGCCATATCTACAACAATGGCGCCTCAGCGCTAGGCTACATTAACTCCCTTCTTGTAGAAAATGGCGACATTTCAGCCCATAGAGGTTCCGGCTCGGCGTGTGGCTCCTATCCTGAATCACGTCTATCAGCCTGAGGTCCCCCGTGTTGTCCCGGGCGTACACCGGGCTGGCGATGTACTCACTCCCCAGCCGGCTGCGGGCCGCCCGAGACGACGGAGTGTCCTGACGGGACCGTGGTCGAACAGCGCCCCCTGTCAATTCCTTTCGGAAGGGCACGTTCCTCCCACCCACATCTGCTGCAACATGAAAGATACATTTCCTTAATTATGTTCGTACATTTACAACTGTCTTAAGAAGCGAGAAGAAGCAGAACCTGTACATATATAGTTTTATTATAGATATATTTTAGTCTACCATCGCTATTTGCCATGACCTGTACTTAGTTCGCAATCAGCAAAAAATGTACAATAAAGGTCTTTCATTCATTCATTCATTATTCATTAATCTGAATGTTTTATGAAAATTTTATTCTAACATTTGAACATTTACTACAGTGCATGTTCCTGCGAGGTGTTGAGCCTTTTTAACTATATAACAAGTTATTGTTATAGAATGCAATATTTTAAAATAGCTAATGAGTCATATTATGTGAAATGCTGTTTATTTATAGCGAATTGCTTTTAAATTTCAATTGTAAATACATCTGGTCAATACATCAATGTTGGATCTTGAAATAAATGGAGAATATTATTGTAAAAGTGCTTCATCTTGCAGTTCCGTAAGTCTATTACTAATGGGTCAAAAGAACATTAAAGATCACGTATCCGAGTTAGTTGGGTCAGTCAGCCTAATGAAGATTATAGATATATATGCCCACAGTTTTGTTTATTAGCATGAAAGTTCATCTGAGTTGGTAAATACATAATGAGAATTTAACTGTTCTCCAACTCAAGAACAGTTGCGCAATTTACATCAGGGCACTTCAACCTTCGCTCAACCGGGACGGGGGGCGGTACCGACTTCCGACGAACTTTGACCCAGTGCGACGTCACACGTGGTTGAAAGTCACGTGTCCACAGCACTCGGGTCAGAAAGCTGATGAAGATCGAGTGATTCGGTTAAAATTCCTGATGAGTCAATTTTCTTGAGTTGGAGAACAGTTAAATTCTCATTATGAGTTTCTTTGTTGCACTGAGCCTCAACTTAAATTAGATCATTCCCAGTACCTATAACAAGTGTGTCCTCTGATGTCGGGTAGGTGTCGATGACGTCATAGTTGCGCAGGCCCAGTCCGTCTTTAGGCCGATGGATGTCCACCATAGTCTGCTCCACCACGCGTCTCCGGTAGCTCGCCCACTGACTCTCTTGGAAGAACCGTTCACACAACTGTCTGTCCAGGGGTACCTACACATCGATTCAGTCATGTTACCTTTAGGCCACAGCAATTAAATTGTATGGATGA